GTGGCATTTGAAAGTAGGAAGCTGAATGATACCGAAAGACGGTATTCAGTACATGAGAAGGAGATGACAACAGTCATTCACTGCATCAACGCATGGAGGCACTACTTGTTGGGGAAGCATTTCCTTGTACTGACAGATAATGTGGCTACCAGCTGCTTCAATTTCATGAAGAAACTGACACCAAAACAAGCAAGATGGCAGGACTTTCTTGCCCAGTTTCATTTCACGTTGCAGTACAAGCCTGGCAGTGCAAATCAGGTTACTGATGCTCTTAGTCGAATCCCAGTTGCTGATGGGACAGTTGCTGCACTTAGCCAGATTGCAGGAGACATACTGCAGAGAATTCAGGATCAGACTAAAAATGATCCAGTGACCAGCTTATTGCTGAAGCAGGTTCACGAAGGGGTGACTCGGCGATTTTGGATAAAGGATGGTGTTCTCTACGCCAAAGGTAGGAGACCCTATGTTCCGAAGTCAGACAGACTTCGACAAATGTTGCTGAAAGAAGCTCATGATGCTCTATGGGCAGGACATCCAGGGCAGCAACGGACTCTTGCCTTGCTAGCAGAAAGTTATTATTGGCCCCGCACGGAAGCAGATGTGGAGCTGTATATGCGCACTTGTTTGGTGTGTCAGTAGGATAAGATTGAAAGGAAGAAGGTGACGGGTACATTGGAACCTCTCTCTATTCCAAGCCGACCTTGGGAGAGTGTTTCCATGGACTTCATTAATGGTTTGCCTCAGGTAAACGATTTTACTTCGATATTTGTGGTGGTAGACAGATTTTTGAAGTATGCCACTTTTTATTACTGCCCCAAAAGTATGTACGGCGGAAGTTACAGCTCAGTTATTCCTCAAGTATATTGTGAAGCTTTGGGGTCTTCCGCTGGACATAGTAAGTGACAGGGACACTCGGTTTACTGCCCGGTTCTGGACAGCTTTATTTGAACTGTTGGGCACATAGCTCAACCTTTTCACCAGCAATCATCCGCAGACAGATGGGCAGACCGAGCGGGTCAATGCAATGCTAGAGGAATATCTCAGACATTATGTCACAACGAACCAGGACAATTGGGTGGATTTACTTGATGTAGCCCAGTTCAGTTATAACCTCCAACAGAGTTCTTCCACTGGAATGAGCCCCTTTGAGTTGGCAACTGGCCAACAGCCTCTTACCCCGCATGAAGTTGTTAAGCAAAAGTCTCAAGGGAGATGTCCTGCAGCATATCGCTTTGCTCGGGCCAATCAGGAGCGGACCGAGGAAGCAAAAAACTGTTTAACTAAGGCGGTAAAGAGGATGAAAAAGTGGGCAGACGAGAAGAGGAGGGCAGTAGAGTTCGAAGTGGATGACAAAGTGATGCTAAAATTGACCCCACCAATTTGGAACAAGATCTCTCGGAAGTCTGCACAAAAGGGATTAATCTAGCATTATGACGGCCCTTTACTAATAACAATGAGGATTGACAGGTTGANACGGCCCTTTCCTTATAACAATGAGGATTGACAGGTTGACCTATAGGCTGGATCTTCCCAGTCGTCTCAAGCTTCATCCAGTTTTCCATGTTGCCTTCTTAAAGCCGTATGTTGAGGACCCTAACAGATACGTTCGGCGTCGGGCTCCTCCAACAATCAGGAAGCAATTCACAGAAATAGCTGAAGCTATCCTTGATCACAAGACTGAGGGAATGAGTAAGAAAAATAGAAGAACTCATTACCTAGTCAAGTGGAAAGGGAAAGCACCGGAGGAAGCCACTTGGGAGAAAGAGATGACATTGTGGCAGTTCGAGGATCTCATCAAGCAATACCATGCCTCCATTCCAACGAGGTCGTTGGATACTTCAGGTGGGGGTGACTTGTCACACCCTAATTGACTTGGGTGCAAATGGCCGATCTTGGTGGCACCTTGCACCAAGGCATGCTAGAAATCGAAATCAAGGTGATGCGGCTAAGTGGTTCGACAGATTGGGGTGAACCAAGGCAGCACGAGACCACCCGGTTGAGCATGACAGCATGGGTGGGCTCAATTGAAGCAATGTGGGTGCAGAGCTTCGGATTGCATGGCATGGGTTGAACCCAGCATGCACATTGGTTCATGTAGCAAGGTTGACTGCTGAATGTGGGCACATGACTGCTGAATGTGGGCACCTGACTGACACATGGCTGCTCAATGTGTGTGACCAGGAGGATATGGGCGGTTATGATGCTGACTCAGTTAAGACAGTTGCTGAGGCAGTTTTGGACATCACCAGTCTGAATCCAGTCTAGATGTATACTGATGAAGGACAGTTCCGCAACAGTTACTAGAAGCGGTGGAACTGCCTGCCAGGTGTTGCACAGAGATCAAGCCTGCTAGTCCAGGATGCTATGGAATAGCAAAAACGTGGGTAACTATCCCTTGGCAAATGAGGGTGTCATCTGCCTTCCTCTTGTATAAATAGGGGTTCTTGAGCATTCTGGAAAGCAGAGAGTGTTCTGGCTTTGAGAGTTCTTGTAAATTGTTGAGTTCAATATATAAGGTTTGAGAGTGTTATCCCAGTAAATTCGTGTGTACCTTCTGTATGAGTTTCTATCCCTTATTCTTGAGTTTGAGTGTGATTAATTATAATATCAATACCTTCATAGATAGCCTTAAAAAAAACGAACGTTAACTTGTGACAGTAAGGAAAGTTTGATTCTTCATCCATTGGTTTTCATTGAAGCTCTGGAGTTGATGCAGAAATGATGTGGCATTTTTTCATTGGTTTTGTACACCACATAAGTGTGCCACGTGGTATGTTAAACCCACCCAAAATTTTCTCTGAGAAATGGGTTTTGAAAATTTTAAATTTAGAAAGAGTTAAAAGGACAACAGTTGTTGACCCAGCTCCCCAAAAAATGACTGACCTTTTTCTTCGAGTTTGCCCCGTTAATTTTCCGTCCATGAGCAAAGCCTGATTGATGTGCTGGCATTTTTTAAAATTTTCTCTGACAAATTGGTGACGGGGAAGGCATTTATTGATTGTGCACACCACGTGGGGAAGGCCAGGTGATGTGTAATACCCATCCAAAATTTTCTCCTTATCACAACCTCAATAGTCAATACAAATATCTTAAAGAAGTTGTACGGCCATCGAGGGGACACCAAAAAGGCTAACACAAAAGACTTTAGTAGAATTGTATTTTGTACCCTTAAGAAATTTTAAATTTTTTATTTTTATTCTCAAAGATGAATTTGTTTCCATTACATCTTTAATATCATAAAATAATTACAATGTGATCCTTACATTAACTTCAATTGTTGTTTTCGTCAAATCTTACTACACATAAGTCATGTGAATTTGATAGAAACATACGAGTGATATTATAATTATTTTATAATATTAAAAAGTGTAATATGAGAAAATTGATTTGTAAAAGTTTTTTTCTTTTCTTTTTTTTTTTTTGGATAAAGGGAAAAATTGGTAAATAGAAGTGTGATTATGTCATTTAAGCTCGTGAGTATAAGTAGAATTGATAACAAATTTTAAGTATATGGACCAATCTTTCGATTCCTATATTAGTTAAATCAAAATTTGTGTTTTAGTGGAGATTCAAAATGCTAGTCTTAAATACGATTATTCTAAACAAATTTTCACAAAGGAAGGATACATATGAGCCAAAGAGGGATTCGCCAAAAAGACTTTTGGATTCTAGATTTTATGCATACATAGCCTTTTGCAGCACCACCTCCTTAGTCATCCTTTTTGTTTCTACGTTGCTTCTCTCTCTCTCTCTCTAATACTATCGATCAAGTGAGCTGNAAAAGTGTAATATGAGAAAATTGATTTGTAAAAGTTTTTTTCTTTTCTTTTTTTTTTGGATAAAGGGAAAAATTGGTAAATAGAAGTGTGATTATGGCATTTAAGTTCGTGAGTTTAAGTAGAATTGATAACAAATTTTAAGTATATGGACCAATATTTCGATTCCTATATTAGTTAAATCAAAATTTGTGTTTAAGTGGAGATTCAAAATGCTAGTCTTAAATACGATTATTCTAAACAAATTTTCACAAAGGAAGGATACATTTGAGCCAAAGAGGGATTCGCCAAAAAGACTTTTGGATTCTAGATTTTATGCATACATATCCTTTTACAGCACCACCTCCTTAGTCATCCTCTTTGTTTCTACGTTGCTTCTCTCTCTCTCTCTAATACTATCGATCAAGTGAGCTAATAGAGGGTTTCTTTCTGCTTCAAATGCAGTGTCTGTGGTCCTTATAGGGAGGTTCTTCCTACTTTAAACTCCCAAGCAATACCCAGTATATACCCTTGCCATTCGAATGATTTGGAAAGCTGCCTTGGAAGATTTCTTCAAGTTGAAAGAGGTAAAGAGTTTCAAAATACTGAAGTGGGTGTGACAAAATTGCTTGTACTGTTACTCTAATAGTTATAATACTGCCGTAAATCAAGGGAAGTTGCAACCCATATGCTTGCACTTGTTCTGTGAAAAGTTTTGATCTTTTTTCATTAATCTGGTTTTCTCTATGTGTGAATTGGGAGTTGAGGAAGTGGAGCAAAAGTCACTCACCTAACTAGATAAATATCCTGATTATTTTGACCAATTTATATGTTGCTTTTTATCTGTATATCACAGGTTCCATTGAAGCAAGTTCTAGACTCTCTCTCTCTCTCTCTCTCTCTCTCTCTCTCTCCTTCCTATTTGTAAATAGCTCAGAGTGCTTGCTTTTAGATATTTGAAAGGACCCTTTTTACACGGGAATTCTGTTTCTTTATTTGACCAGTTCCTTCTTTGATTTCCCTTCTTATAGCCATCTCTCTCTTTCCTCTCTGGTTTTACNATTTGAAAGGACCCTTTTTACACGGGAATTCTGTTTCTTTATTTGACCAGTTCCTTCCCTGATTTCCCTTCTTATAGCCATCTCTCTCTTTCCTCTCTGGTTTTACCTCTCTCTCTCTCTCTCTCTCTCTCTCTCTCTCTCCGTCTCTCTGTTCTCTGTTTAGTACAGTTCTGATCAATATACTATGGAACTTAGGATTGCTCCACCTCTTGTTCAATGTTTACACCTCCCTCAATCATTTGCTACCTCTTCAACTGCTTCACCGTCTTTACTTAACCTTAACAAAAAGGGAGATACCTTTGCCTGCCAAATCTTTCTTTCCAATGCTTACACATTGAGAACAAAGCTCTTGACGTCGCAGTTTTTAGACCAGCCTGTCTCAAGAGGGAACACCATAAAACGATCTTGTAGTGAGAATTTAGATGAAATTTTAGAAGAACCAGCCCAGGGTTTCGACCTGTCAGTTGATGAAGAGAATAAAGAACACCAAACCTACAACATCACCACTTGTACAATATCTGAGAATAGCCTTTCAGTAGGTGAATATAGAAGTGATTTGTGTGGGAATTATAAGTTTTTGCCATCAAAATTCGTGTTCTTGGAGCCTAAAATGCTTGGTATAAGGCCAGAGGCCCCAGAATGGCCAGAAAGAGAGGCAATTATAAGGACCAGCATTGAACGAAAGGCAAATAGGGTCGACCTTCCTCTATCCCTTCGATTGATAAAGAAGAAGCAACAATTGCAAGAGGGTTTTCGAGACTTAGAAGATTCAGCTTGTTGTTCGGTGAAAAAGGCTTTCTCTTCAATGGTGTACATCATTCTCGAGCTTCAAAGCTATGCATTACAGATGAGAGAAGTGTTGTGTTACAAAGATTTGGAAAAGGTTATCGATAAAGTAAAGGCAGAAATGAATGCATCATTTGTGTGGATATTTCAACATGTTTTTTCAAGAACACCGGCTCTGATGATCCATGTGATGATCCTTTTAGCAAATTTCAGCGTTTATTCAACAGCCAATAATGTTGCTATTGCTGAAACTTCATTTATGGGATCATCCTATGAAAGTAAAACAGAGATGATTTCACTGACAGAGCAACAGAATGAACAAGATGCACAAATTGATTCTTGGGCAATTAGATCCAATTTGTCATTTGGAAGGAAAATTCACCCTGTTGCCGGGGGTACAGTAGATGGGGACAGGCATTTGGAGAGATCATCACTGCCAATCCAATGTCCCAATGTTGTTCCTGATGAAATTTCTCACGTTGGCAATCAAGAATGTCCCAATGTTCCTGATGAAATTTCTCACGTTGGCAATCAAGAATTGAGAAGTGCAGTAGAGGTAAAATTGTGGAACTCAATGGTAGATGAAGCATTAAAGATGCAATCTGATTTAAGGGGTGTGGTTCTTGATCATGAGGCAATGCAATTGGTCGTGTCACCCGTGTCTGTGGAGCTTGAATCAGATGATTACATAGACTATTTTAAGACCGATCTTGTATACCAGATGGCATTGTCTCAGGAGCCTAACAATCCACTTCTGCTCAACAACTATGCACAGTTCCTCCATCTTGTTGCACATGACTACAACAGGTGATTCTCTTAAAATGATGTGTATATCTCTGATTAAGTTTGGTGCCAGGCCATTGAATTTCCATTGTTGTGTTTTTAATAACACCAAAGGGATCATTGATGGATATATGATTCCATTCTATTGGGAATTGTGAACTCTATGATATCAATCAGATTTCTATTTTGATTCTGGTTTTCCAAGCTTTTGTAATCCATAAGATTGAGAGATTATAGGTGGTGAATGCACAAAGAGAAACCAAACCCACTATGTGTAAGACCTTTCGGGAAAAGAATTTCCTTAAGAATTGTTGGGGCCGGGGGGGACTCAGAATCTGTTTGTCATCTTATTTAGTTCTTGTTTGAAGTTCATCGCATTTGGTTTCATGGAATTAGCCTCTTTCCATGAGTGAGTCCTAAAGTTGGCTACCATGTTTTGAGCAATGCTATGTTGCGCAAATATTTGCCAAAACCCAAATCAATGCAGGTGGTTGGATTAGTAAGGTCCACTAACTCTACCAAATATTCAATGCATGAGATTTTGACACATCACTTAGGATATAAGATTTAGGCAACAATTCGTGCAGCACAGCTTTATCCCCATGTTTTATTGAGTGCTTACATCTAAAATTGGCTTGGTAAAACACGTATAAAAGCTCCATGTAATGAGGCTTTTGTAGCATATTCATCATGAAAATATTCAATCTAGACATATGAGATTCATTTATAATTGCTGGTGAAGTCGAATGACAGAACTCATTTGCCTTGTATACTTAATGTTATAGAAGTAGTCAGAGTTCAGACTGTAGGTGATGATTTGGCCTCAGTATGGATCAGTGTTTGCAGTTAAAGGGCAAGTATTGCTCCCAAAAAAATTCTTACTGATATGTAGTATGCTGCACTCCCTGCCCTTAATTGGTTGGATAATTAGCTTGCTGATTCAGTTTCTTTTATAACTCATGGGGTTTAACAGGGCAGAGGAGTGCTACAAGCGGGCAGTACAAGTGGAACCACCCGATGCTGAATCCTTGAGTCGATATGCCAATTTCTTGTGGATGGTAAGGAAGGACTTGTGGGGAGCAGAAGAAAGATACCTACAATCCATTGCAGCTGAGCCTGACAACTCTTATCATGCATCTAAATATGCCAATTTCTTGTGGACCACTGGTGGTGAAGAAACATGTTTCCCTCTCAACACTTTTCTACACCACCAACAAGAGTTCAAATTTTCGGAGGAATGATGGATGCACATTGGGATCTCACAAGAATCCAGTACCAAAGTTGCCTCAAAAGAATAGTTTGGACCGATTGTTGATTGCCTAGCATGGTGCTGGACTAGCTATGTACTGGTGTGGAAACTTCAAGTCCTAGACTGGATTTTGATTGGCACAACTGGTAATTGTAGAGAATATTGAGGGAGGGAGAGAGAGAGAGAGGAGTTGCAATTTGGAGAACAAGATATGATGTAAGTTGTAAGATGTGTTTTGTAGGGGAAAGAGGAGGGTTTGGGGGGGGGGGGGGGGGGGGGGGGGGGGGGGGGGGGGGGGGGGGGCCCTC